CTAACCAATATGGTTCCTATCCTCTGTAGTCTTTCCAGGATGTGTGCCTCCTTTTTGGAGCATTGGCTCAACGGTTGTATGCATTATTCTAGATGGAGTCTGATATATGTCGTATTGATTACTTGAAACATACCCTCGTCTAATCGCTCGAAGGCCCTTCGATGTGCCCATATAACTCGAAAGGCTTTAGCTGCGGCTTGGTTACAATTAGCCGTTGTTCTAAGTCATGGCTTACAATAATTCCTAAGCCCTTTTGTTCCCTAACACCTGGCAGTTCTGTGCCCTCCGTGGGGTACGACGTTTAATAACTCTGACCTAGGTGCACAGCCAAAGTTTTCTTAGATTTAATTAACGGACTCCAGAGGTTGGATTATTCAGCTAATTTGTCTAGGCCGTTATGCAGTACTAAACTAACACCGGTACTATTTACGGTTCCTTAATGTCGTCCGCAAATAATGAGGAAGATGAGGCAAGAATTTTCGGCACTTCATTTACGTATAATAGGAATGGCAGGGAGCCAAGTACAGTTCCCTGAGGTACTCCACTTAATACTGCTTTCCACCCTCAGAGTACACCATTAATCCTCATCTTCTGCCTTCTATCCATCAGGTAGTCGCTAAACCATTCACATAAGCGTTGGTCTAATCCAAAACGTTTAAGTTTGCTAAAGAGACCTAAATGGGACACCTTATCGAATGCTCTACTAAGATCAATAAAGAAAACGTCCAGTAAACGGTTCTTATCCCTGGCCTCGACCGAATCTTCCCTAGTTAACAGTAAGTCTGTCAAGCAGGATTGCCCTGGTCGGAATCCATGCTGTTTCACCACCAGTAAGCCATGCCTGTAAAACTGGCGTGTCCTACATAGATAGGAATAAATATATTATTATATTTCTCCATATGAGCTGTCGAGGAACTTAGCCCTAAGTTCCTATTGTAATGAAGACGTAGGCGATTGAACCGATAAATACTATGTATTGCTTTCAACTTTAAATCCAAAACACCAGTATTCCTTGAACGAAATTATATTTTTTGGCAATTAAAGTGAAGACAACTACAAAGCCTACAAACAAATGTTAAGTACAAATGAAGTTATAAAGTACTTTTATTCGTATTTGTTCAGGTCTTCATTCAACTTACAAGCGATCGAACCATTCGTGCCTTTGAATTGCCCACCAATGGCTGCCAGTTCCAAAAAACAAACGTTCAATGTTCACGTCCATTGACATGAGCCTAGAGCTGATCCCTTATTAGTGTTTCTAATACCTTTGCCATAATGGAGGTCAAACTAATAGGCCGGTAGCTAGATGTATATATATTTATTCCTGTTTATGCAGGAACATACCAATTGTACAGGCATGGATAAGTTATTATATAAATTACAGTTTGTTTGTTTAATCTAACATTAGAGTCAGTCAGAACAGTCTGCAAAATAGTCTGTCTGTGTAACACATAAAGAGATATAGAAATATTGTCTTCGCATTAACAAAAAACCCAGACTTCAGATGAATGTGATACAAATATCTGGGAAAAATAAAGCTTGAAGTCAATTCTCCTATAAAACTTTGTTGTGAACAGCATCCGTGAGATAAAGTTTATTGATGTATAATTTTGAGTCAATAATGTATTTATTCCATTTTTGTCAGCAGTCTAATCGTAGTTTTATAATAAGAAAGAAATTTGATCTTTGATACGAAAATTAGATAATTTCATGTTAGATTGTTTTACTGCATCAAATGGGGTCGATTCTAGAACTATCCATTTGCGCCATTTGCGTCAGCATGGCAGACTGTACATGTAAGTTGAGTAATACATTGAAAACTACTTGAAAACCAGTTGTTTCTTTATATCAAATCAAGAATAATCCTTGTACAGAATGTTAGCCAGCGTTTTCAAGTGGTTGCATCGGATCGTTCATGGAATTTGAGTTTGAATTTACATAAATGGTCATTTCAGTTTAGATGCTGAGTTGTTCGACCTCGACCAGGAGGTATATAGAAGATTACGCTCAGCAGGGAGATAAAGTATGTAACTGCCTATTCCTCTCTTTAAGGATGAGGCATATAAAAGCATCTTTCGAGTCCCTAGATAACCTAGCCTGGGTCAGAAACATTTGAAAAGTCACAGTAAGTGGAGTGTATATCCACCAAGGAGACTAGCAGTCTAGGCTGAAGTCCATCAGGTCCAGGTGATTTAGCTGGATTCAGTCTAGACAGTAGTGTGGGAAACACTGCCTCCTCTACCTCAATTGTGGGCATTTTGGAGGCTGCATCAGTGACTTATTTTAAATTAATACCCAATTTGGATATAAATCAAGAATAAAAATACGATGCCGTACACACCAAAGTTATGTGAGGAATTCACTTCAAGCTTTATTTTTTCGCAAATATATGTAATCCTTCACACAAATACTCGGGTTTTTTTTGTTAATGCGTGGGCAACATTTCTATATTTATTAATGTGCTCCACTGAATGACTAGTTAGCAGATTATGCCCACAAACTAATGTCAAAAATGACAGCAACCATGTAGTTTCACCATAAATCAAATTTATGTAATTTAAATAATACCTATCCATGCGTGTAAAACTGGTGTCCAGCATAGATAGGGATAAATATATATACAGACATGGACTTCGCTACACCCCTGAGTGGTACGATTAGGCGAAAAACACCGCGAAAGTATTCGGAAAGCTTTTCGGCTTTCGTTTCGTTTGACTGCACTGCCCCTCCAGTATTGCTTATGAGGGAAGGTATACAATTGCTAGTTTTAGTACAGCGTTTCATATGTGAGAACAGTCTTTTTGGATAATGCACACAATCCAGTACTAACTGTCTCTCATGCTCTATACGACTTTTGTCAGTCTTATACTAACAACGATTTCCAATTTTGCTGTATTCCATCCGAAACTCATCCCTCTCAGGTACAGTAAACCGGTCCCATAAGTTCTTTCGTTTTCTTAATAAACTCCTTATTTCATTATTAATCCAAGGTGGTTTATGCGATAGCTTTCGAGGCGTAGACCAAGTTAGAAAGGATGCAGTGACCCAATCCAGTGTATTCCCAAATCCCAATCAAGCTTCCTCGACAATCTAGTGTGTATCAACAGACCAGTCAACTTGGGTTGCCGTATTTCGGATTGCAGGTATATTCGTTTTCCAAACGTTTGGACGAGCAGCTGTTGACCTATTTATGACAGCGTGAATCCTAAACATAAAAATGATAACTATATGGTCACTACTGCCTAGTGGTGCCAGGCACTTAATTTGACCAACATTCTCCTTCTGGTGTGTTAGCACCAAGTCTAGAATGGAGGGATCACTTTCAGAGTGGTATCGTGTTGGTGCATCTATATGCTGTACAAGTGCGTAAACAAGCGCTGTCAGTATTAGTTCCCTGTGGAAACGAGTATACGAAGTATTTGATGTTAATTCCTCCTAATTTATATGTGGGGCACTAAAGTCACCTGCTATTAGACACCTGTTTCTACTACTCCACGTCCTGAAGTGATTTATCATGAAATCCTTAGCTTAGCTGACGGGACTTCTGTAAATAACACCAGTTGTAACAGTGCCCTTGTTCAAGTTAATGACACAACTTACGGCCGCTGTCATCAGCTTCCGATAACGTTGATCTAAGTCCTATGTCATCCCATATGTATACAGCGACACCCACACGTTTCCGACTACTTACTCTGTCTGCTCTAATGCAGATGTATCCAGATATGAGTTGAGTTAAGTCTACACCCACTAACAACCATGTTTCATTGACAGCAATCACATCAGGTTGAAGTTCCTCAGAAAAACTCCTAGTTCCGCCAGCTTATTCCTAAGACTACAATCGTTCGTGTGAGATACTGAGAGACCTACGCGTTCACTCAACTTATGAACAGAGGTCTAGGCAACATAGGTTTCCGAGACCTCACTACCCAAAAACTCAACAGTTTGAGGTCTTTTTCACTTTCTTCTATTTAGCTCTTTAATTCAGCCACCGCTTCTCCTCTCTAAATCCTATCTTCCAGAATCCAATCAGGCCTGATTATCATCTTTTTGTCCTGGATCCTGAATACGTTGTTGAGAATAATACTTCTTTCCACTTGGTTCCCCAGTACTATCTTCAGCAGTCGTGGGGAACTTTCCGTTGCATCGGCGTTTCGTTTACTGGCTCTGATGACTTTCCTTATGTGAACTCCATTTGTTTTTTCAGGAAGTATTTCACGGATGATGGAGCTAACTACCTCAAGATCATCAGCATATTGGGCCCAGATCTTGAACATAAGGAGTCCTTCGGCGTCTTGGGTGAGGATATCCAGTGGGCTACTACAAAATTTGCGCACCCATGGAGATGATGGCTTGCTGAATCTCCTATAGGCTGATGGTGATAAACCAATGCAAACTTTATGAATCCATAGGTTGCAGATATCACACTGCATCCCATCATCAACCGAAAAGTGGCAGTGCGGTCGTCCACAGCCATTAGAGAGACTCATACCAGTACAACTTGTTTAAATTACACAGACAAAAATGTATACATACCTAAATACAGAGATATAAAAACCACACAAAAAGTCCCAAAAGTGCACAGAAGAAACCTATACTTCAACTAATCAAACTGGGTAAAGTGAACAAAAGGCTTTTGGCGCTATTTATACAACAAAAGCAGAAGTTACTTCACAACGTGAAAATGACACTCTGCTTTTCGAAGATAGAATTGCATTCCATAGTGCGTACCCGTTGCACTTAATAAGAAAGCAGTGATAAATGTCTCCCCGTCTTTAAACTCAAGTCTCCGACATTGTAAAAGTTTCTGAGTGACTTCTCTTTGTAACTTTTTACACATACATTAGTTTAAAATTGCATCGCTGGTTATTGTATCTACATAAGGTAAATACAAAAAATATATTCATTACATATTGATGTCTGCAGAAGAGTAACCATAATAAACAGTTCAGGTTCCGTATCATCAAATTTCCATTGAATTTCCACAGAATACGTGACCTCCTATTTGTTTTATTAAGCGAAACGTGAGATTTGTTGTGTATGACAACAAGCGCCAATACAAATTCCTATCAGAAATGAGCAAGATCAAATTTGCAACTGATGTTGAGAAATCAGTCATAACAAGTAATTTCGAAGCAAGAGGATGGATTTCTACAAACCCTGATGAGGACTGGAATATATTTTGGGCATCTGTCCAAAGCGTACGTATGCTGTTCAACAGTGACACGTCATACAGATTATCTGATAACCAGGTTTTTGATTTCGGTTTGTAGAAGTAACGTTTTCAGGTTGTAAATCACTTTCCGAATCATTTCGAGCTGACTAGAAAAGACCTTATGGTGAAAAATATCAAGCGTTATAGACGTGAATTAGAGAGGGATGGTAATCCGTTGGCTGCTAAAGATGAAGCTGGAAAGTATATTTACCTAGACTTCATTCCGGTCACTTATATGCTACCACAGGACTACAACTTGTTTGCTGAGGAGTTCAAAAGAAACCCTTCGTCCACATGGATTATGAAGCCTAGTGGGAGAGCACGAGGTGTTGGTATATTCCTAATTAATAAACTGTCTCAGCTTAAACGGTGGTCTAGAGAAGGAAAGTCAAATTTTGGTGGCACGACACCAACGTGTGGTAAAGATTCATATGTGATTTCAAAGTACATTGATAACCCCTTGCTCATTGGAGGTAAGAAGTTTGATTTGCGTTTGTATGTCCTTGTAACTACATTCCGACCACTGAAAGCATATATTTACAAATTAGGATTCTGCAGATTCTGCACTGTAAGGTATAATTCAGATGTTAATGAATTAGATAATATGTTTGTCCACCTTACCAACGTTTCAATCCAAAAACATGGAGTACATTACAACAGTATTCATGGAGGTAAATGGACGACAGAGAACTTCCGTCTGTGGTTGGAAGGTACAAAAGGGAAACCAGTTGCCGATAAACTGTTTGATGAGATATACTGGATAGTTGTACACTCTCTGAAGGCAGTGGCAAACGTACTGATAAACGATAGACACTGCTTCGAGTGTTATGGCTATGACATAATAATTGACGACAATTTTAAGGCCTGGCTAGTTGAAGTTAATGCATCACCGTCCTTGTCAGCCACGACGGCAAGTGATCGTATTTTGAAGTATAAATTAGTAAATGATGTTGTCAATATTGTCATACCAAACGGGGCCATCCCAGATGTAAAATCTAATAAAACTGTGTCGAAAGAACAGATGGGGCTGTTTGATTTGTTATACGATGAAGAAAAAGCCCATGAGGAGTCAACTGGAGTTACATGTCCTCAACCATGTTATCAGCACTTAAGCTCTTCCGGAAGCACTTCTAACCATATTGTTTCTCAAGCAGCACCAAGAGGAAGGCGGGAAAGTCGGGTAAGTACGTCCAAGATTTCAGCTCAAAAATAAATTTCAAATCAGTCATTAAAATGAGCTCGAAACAAAACCTCTCTACTCTTTATTTATTGACAATACGGTAACAAATGTCTATGAATTTGGGTCAAAAATGCATTAACAATCTGAGAATCAAATATTGGAAACCTTCACTTTCAAAATCATTTATGTTTATGACTGAGAAAAAACATAACCATGAGAGTGTTGAAAATTGCTGATTTTGACAGAAAAATTGTACACAAAATTTCCATGTAACAGAATATCAGGTTCGTTGTAACTTTCTTTTTTTGTATTGGTACAATGTTGCCCTATAAGTATTTCACGAAGGATGGGATGCCGACAGTAACAATGATAAGATTACGTCGCTGGCTGACTACAGCTGCACATTCACATTTTGCTGTTCAGTCTGTCTCTTCACACGCATTAACTTGTTCATTCGAAAGTGACATTGATGAGGTTCACATCTACCGACAGAGGTTAAATGAAAAACAATCATTTCCGTGAAATTAGAATGACAAATTTGAATCAAATTCTGTCGCTAACCGTAAGATTTTGCGTTCTATATCTGCTGTTAAGTAGAATAATATGGTGAACATTATTTACGTTAGGCGTAGTGCTAATTTAGGAAGTTAAGTCAATCGGTGCGACTCCACAACCGCATCAATTGAGATGGCTGAGGCACGACTTACGTATGCTGAGGCAATGCCTTTGTTGTCATGCACTGTTAAATGATATAAGTTGTAAACAGTTAGGCGTTATTGTCGAATCAAAACTTAGTATCAATTCATGAAGACCTTGATTATTAGTTTGAGCAACGTGAGGAAGTGTGGACTACGTGACCGTAGACTTTAAAAGCTTATGACCAGAAACTCTATGTGATATGGCTCAAGGTCATTCTCCTTTTGACCTCCTACAAACATAAAATACTTATGATTATCCATGTAAACGTTCTCTCTTTTTGACATTTGTGTCTCTACTTTTGTGTGTTATGCGAAGTGTAGCACTTTGAACTGCTGCACCTTTACGCAAAGTTTTCCGTTGAAAACTCATTCACTATGACCAGTATCCTACACTCACCTACCAGGATCTAGATTTTCACACAATCTGCTAGTCGATTTGTTAACGTCACAGTGAACTAGCATCTTTTGTACCCAGTGATTATGTAGACGGTTTGGGATAGAGAAAAATTATGCCATCCATCCCAGATTTGTTATCCTCACAGTGAGAGTTTTATTAAAGGTGATTACATGAGATTATGACTCCGTATGGATCTCACCACTTGTACATCCAAGAGAAAATAAACCCATTTAAACGCTTAATTCAAAGACCCATTAGTCACCGATACGTGAACACTGTCTAATATATGGTTAAGAAATGCTTATATGGATTTAGTGTACTACTTTATGAAAATATAGAGAGAATTCTTCCTCACTACTCAAACCATATTTGGTTGTATCTATTAGTTTATTTACCAGGTATATTGCATACACAGAATTTATCCATCGGAAACATGCGGGTTGCAACTGACGTCTAGACATGTTTCGAACATTCAAAATGACTTTTTCTACTACTCATTTGCTTTTTAAACAAATATTTACTAGAAGCACCACTCTGGAAAGCCACTAACATGCCCGTTAAATGACATTTAGAAATAAGCCTTTAATTTGCCAGTTGTGCAGCTCTCCAATTAGAAACATAATAATAAAAGCGAAGACCAAATAACCACTTCCGAAACGTTCTTTATTTTATGGACAAATTCTTGTAGTACTGTGTTTTATTCATTTGAACGACTAATGAAACAAGTACGGGAAAAACAATTTCCTAATAGACTGGCCTGCGTTTTTCACGAAGTAGAAGTATTAGGGTCGTTACCAGTATAGTTTTCAAGATAGGTAAGCAATCAACAAACCAAACATCGTGTGATTACAGGAAAATATAATAACCATACATGCAAGGGATCACTAGGTAGTAACTAGTGCGCATTCAGAGTTTTCAATGTGCCAAAAACCTGTCAATTGGGAGTGGCAAGCTACATCAGTTTATAGATGGCATCCCGCACGTTTGTATTTATTATAATCTTTCCTACCTCCACGTGTCTATGTTATGAAGTGTGTCAATTCTAACTGCTGCATATTTTTGCAAAGTTGTATGCCGAAAATTCAGTCTGTCGGTCAGGTGGCTTGTGGAATAGTTTTAGTGCTATTTTGTTTTGTATATTTGATAGTTTCACTTTTTCTCAACAAATTCAGGTCTTCAGCGCTTACTTCAAGATGGGGTAATTAAGTGTCTCACTCAAGCACTGAATGTCGCGGATTCGAAGCACATAGAAAACATAGATTTCATCAAAAGAATGGTTAACTGCAAATGCTAGGTGCCAATATCACGAAATTTGAACCATGAATTTACTGCATGAAGGACTCTTAAAGCGTAGAGGATAAATGTCAGAATAAGCAATATATTACCGAATTCCATCGAGGAAGTTGACTTGAACTTTCGGACAACACACTGGCAGTGGCTGCAGTTGCATATTTAATACCACACCGAGAGGTAAATTTATATTCATGGTGCTCTGTGAGTATATGGCTAGCCCTTAATATATACCTTTCAAATTAATTACAGTGCATCGGTGGCACATCGGTAGAATGCTCGCCAACCACGCATGTGGTTTGGGGTTCGATCCCCGGCCGACCCACTCCTTTACCTCGCTAAGCCATTAATAAGACTGGTAAGGAGGAGAGGTTGGGCATGAGACTAGCAACCCCATCCCGTAAAAATAAACAACACTGCTACCGAAACTTCAAGCCTCTAGCTAGAAGCTCTATGTTTCACTGAGAATTTAAAGGAATAAAGAAGAAAAGAAGAAGAAATCGATTAAAACACACATTTGCCAGCATTGTGAATGGATAATAATGATATAATAATTTGCTTTATTCCAAAACAGTACTTAGGCTACAGAATGGAATTCTCAGCAACTATTGTACGATTGCAGAATGTGGCAGTTAAAAAGTCGAACGATGGGAGATAATATAATAAAAGAACAAGTCCTTGCCTTACTTTGAAAGAGGTGTTGGGAGAGAAGACTTAAATCATCAATGGATCCTCGAGTCCACCTTATAATATCATACTTACAATAAATGTAGCAGATGACTACCGTGCCATAATAATAGATACAGTACCGGTTATTTAAAATGTGAGTAAGTATTGCACCCCGTATTCACTGATATTCAACCAAAGTGTGAGCAATCATGCTTCGATGATAATTGCAACAAGATTTTAAGAAATGCTGGAAACTGCATGTTAAATAGCGTTCCTTGTACGCACCTGTCTTCAAGTTACTTAAGTTCAAGTAACCCATCCGATCACTATGAAATTAGCCCCAATGATTAATAAAGCCTTGAAATTCCTGAAAGGTCATACAGTTCCGATATCCATAGGTGACGTATAAGTCTCTATTTGCTTAGATGTTTATTCGTGACTGTTACTCCTTGGAAGGATGAACTTTTAGAAAAAGTGATTTAAAGCGGCCAAAACCATGAGAAATAGAGTGACTTATGGTAATAATATTAAGTAGTGATCATGTATCATGAGTAATGGAGAAATGGCAACGGCTTAGCTCTTGAAATGACTAGTCATTAATTGTAATAATCCTCTATTAATAATAAGCCAGATAACTAGTACCAGTTTAGAAACATTAAGACAGACTAAAATTATATCAAGGAATAAAGGTAGTAGTTAAAATATGCAGACGTGTTGCGTTATTCCCAAAGTAATAGTCAAAACAATCTGGTTGAAATTATGACAGTTATGCTTATTAACTGTCATTTTCATTCAAAAGCAAAGCGTATTATTGTTAAAATCATCTGAAGCAACTAGGACTGTCAACTCTATAATAAACAAACCGATTGTCAAATTTCAAAACCCTACATCAAGCTGTTGGATAAATAATGTCAAAAAGGTATACGCAGTTGGCTTATAGTATTTAATTGCATGTAGGATTTAATCATGAGCTGACATCAGTTAGAGAACCACTGGGAGTACTGGACAGCTGTTTCGTCCTGTTTTGGGACTCTTCATCAGTACGCGACCTCCGGGTTTCGAAACCAGGGCTTTCTGGTTACAAGGAGAGCTCATAGACCATTGAGCCACTGGGACCCGATCCAATGGTCCTTGAATTCTAACTTCTGCCAATTCACGACATAATCCCAAACTAGGACGAAACAGCTGTCCAGTACTCCCAGGTTTTCCAGTGGTTCTCTAACTGATGTCAGCTCATGATGAAATCCTCCATGCAATTAAACAAAAATCCCTACCAAACCAATACTTGAAAATTATTCTATTTATCCTACTGGGATTTGCATAACGAATATGGACAATAAAATTTTCAGAATAAAAATTACAATTATGATGAAGACTGCAACAGTTCTCCATTCAACTGACTTCATTCAACTTATATGAGTCACAAAGCAGGTCCGTGTAACAGAACACCATAGATTACTGTATCACATGTGCGTTTTCAGTTATTCCTGTCTTCAATTCAATGGCTTTGCTGAGTTTTCCGTTGTGGATCACCTCACACGTGGCATTGTCACATAGCCAGCTGTTGAATGAGGTTGATAAAGACTTGGGCACTGCACACCATAGTGTTGAAGTAGTTTCCGAATTACTTCCTGGTCGGCACTGTCTAAGGCCTTCTCGAAGTCCATGAAGTTGAGGTAGGGATTTGACTACCACTCAATGCTTTGTTCGATGCGTAGAGTTGCAATTTGATCAGCACATGATTTGCCTTCCCTGAATCTAGCTTGTTCCAGTGGGATGGAATTCTGCATCCAGTGCATCCTTTATTCTCTTCAGGATGACGTGATATAGCGTTTGATTTGGCGTGGACAAGAACATTATTCCACACCAGTTTTGCAGAGGCGTGAGTCGCCAGACAGCCTCTCTTCTAATTAGTAGGCGCCTTTCCTTCTTTACAACCATTTTACAATCGTAATAACAAAGATAAATTCATGCAAGTGGTTATATATTCTGGATGACTGGCTAGTTTCATCATAGAACATTGTGCAGGAGTACAGCAGTTCGACATTCTACGCTCCATATAGCATACACAGGAAAAGAAAAGGGAGAAAAAAAGATTCAAAAGAACCGAAATAAGCAGAAATATCAGGCAGAAAGAATAGTGACATGGAAA